AGAAAGATAAGACTTGGAAAAGAACAATAAGGTTTAGGGATAAACCTCAAATAAATCTTTCTGACTAAGCTACTACCAATGGAACTTTCCGAACACTGCAAGAATGCAATACTCTCAGTACTCAGCATGATGATAACAGCAATAAAATGATATAATGCTTACTAAGTATGGGGCACTTATTCTAAGAAATTAACACATAGTTCACCTAACCCTTACAACAGTGAACAACCTAGGTAAGTATAACATAGGACTTGGAAAAGAACAATAAGATTGTAGGGATAAACCTCAAATAAAACTTTATGACTAAGCTACTACCAATGGAACGCTATTTTATAGATGAGGAAACTAACCCTCAGAGAAACTAAGTAATCTACCTATCCAAGGTCAGATGATAACTGGCATAACTGGAATTTTAATCTGACTCGGAAATTAGAGAACTTAACTAACCAACCAAGTCTCTTTGAAAGAGGTGACAGGGTGTGCCTGTCAATTTTTTATCCTCAAATTATTACAAATATTTAATGCCTTGAGGGAAAATTGCTTCCCAACAAGTTACTGCACAGGTTTAGATAGCACACAATGACTGTTATCCTGGAAAAACTGACATGAAGACTGTTTTCTCCTCTCTGCTTCCCTTTACTTTATCTTGGGCAATAGTCACATGGACCTTGATTAAGGCAAAAAAAGTGTCCTAAAATCACTGTTTTACTTGAATAGCTAACCTACAGCCTAGAGATGGACTTCCATTCTGAATGTGCTGGGTGGGGGACTGTGATCATCTTTTGGTTCAGTTGGAATTAGGACACATGAGAAAACCGAGGTAGACCCAATTCAGTGTGTGAGATCCTGAGAGAAGACTCCCACACTAGAAACTCAGAAAGTAACTGCTGGAAGAACTTCAGCTCAAACCAACAATACAGAGTGATCTGGCTAACATGGGGAAACATAGAAAATTAGGAAAAACTGTATAATTTTTGTAAATTTTAGTAGGAGGAATCCTAACCTTTATCAGATTTTAACTCACAAAAGTAAGATTATATAATTTCAGAGCTCATTTCTATGTGGAACTAATTTGAGTTTATATTTCTTTGAGATTTTATTTTTTGAATTTAATTTCTCCACACACAAAAACATTTGAAAATGGGAAGAGTTAATATTCAAATTCAAATTTGGGATATCTATATGATATTGGAGTTTTGTGTTTGAAATCTGTTAATCTTATCTTTTGATCTCCTGGCAAAATCTCTAAAGAACTTGTCAGACTGCAATTTTGGCAGTGTTGCTTGGCACAATTTGGGATAGAAAATGAACACTCAGTGTTCCATAGCATGATCATGTCATCAATTTCATTAAAGTAGCATCTTAACTCATTTCAGAATCTTGGGATAAATTTTACACTGTCCGTAATGGTGTAGAAGGATTCACAAAAGAGTTAGGTTTAGTTAATGGAACAGTAGTCTCCTAAAGGTACTGAAACTGAAGATCTTCCTCAAGGTGGGGAAGGGGAGGAGGAGAGTTGGCAGGATGAAGAAGGAGTATCTCTACTGATTTACCATATATAATTATTAAGCCAAAGAAATTGACAGAACACAAAACCTGGCGGAACATTAAGGGGATGAGTGTTAATAAACAACTCTATCAAAAACTGAAACTAAATGATATCCTGCCACTGTTACATGCTACTGTAGTATCAAATAGTTTTCTATGACTGGAAAATCAGGGAATGATGTAAGTATAATATGGTTATACTTACATAACCTGGTTGATGAGTATGAGGTTTTTTATATAGGCAAGGTAATTCAATAGATTAAGAGTAGAATTCTATCCCTCATCAGGAAAGAAAAAAAAGACTGCTGCATGGCTGCTGCAATGGGGTACCTCCTCAGGAAGGGGCACCCCCTGTCTTGTATGTCAGGTTCACTTCCTCTTGTGCCTTCCTGAAAGGAAGTCTCACTTGCTCCAATCACAGATTGATTTCCATCTTCACTAATACTCTGCTTCTCTGAAGCAGCACTCTGAGAAGGGAGTTTACATTATCTAAGTTAACCATTTTTATTTTAAGTATTCTGATTTTAAAGATGTATGGCATTTTGGCCCTCCCTGGTGGTGCAGCGAGTTAAAGCACAGCACTAAGAAGCTAAGGCTACTTCCTCATGAGTTCGATTCCCGCCTGCCCCAGAGGTGACCACATGGCGAGGCAGACCTCTCCCGATCCGCCCGCTGCTCCCCTCAGCAGTGTGCTTCGTCCATTTGCCTGTTCTGCTCCCCACTCTGTCTCTGGTGAAACGTCTCGCCGCCCCTGAGCCTCTGGCCTGTACCACAGTTCTGTATGCACAAATAAATAAATCTTTTTTTTTAAAAAAAAAAAAGATGTATGGCATTTTAATGACCTTCTTCAACCTTATTTGCCATAGTCTTAAAATTCTGACCCATGATTTTGACAAATGCATTTTTTTAAACGTTATGTTCTAGCAGAAATGCCTTAGAAATATGTTGACCATTTAAAGGGACATGGAATGTTTACATAATGGGCGGTTCTACTTTAGAAAAAAAAATAGATCACACAGGAACCATAACTAGTAAATTGTTTTACATATGGCAATATAAATTTCTTTGTTAAAATCTTCTGTGGTTTAGAAACCTAAAAGCACAAGGATTTGCAAATTCTATGGGTTTCTTAAAGTTCTTAACAGTCTTGACAAAGTAAAAGTAGTTTAACATCATATCAAATGTGTTTATCTCTCATAGCACAAGAGAAAATTGAAAGCATAACTGATTCCAAAAAAAGAAGCTATCAATAGAGGAATTTTTTGTATCAATTATTCTTAGTCTATGGTATCATTGCACTTCTAATCTGTGCTTGTAAATGAAAAACTACTAAGATGTTAAGAGTAGCCATTATTAAATAACTTTCCTTTTCCCATACAAACCTACAAACCATGTAAGCGAAAAAAAAAAAAGGGCACATATCAACTCAAAATATTAGCGCTGATTTATTAAAATTAAAAGATAATGTTTATATAACTCTTAACCTTTCCCCAAGTTGAATTTTAGAAAGACACAGACCATAAAATTTTAGTGACCCCATTTGGTGCCCAAAAACATACTAAGGAAGAAAAGAGAAATGCAAAATACTAATGTTAAGTGACTAGAATGCTACAAACTGGAAGTTCCTCCAATAGGATTAGCTACTTAAAGTATTTTAAGTCTAGTGAACTTGTTATAGTTCCACATGTTAGTAGCTACATAGGCTAATTTCAGTTGGCATAAGCTTTTACAAGTATGAAAAAACACAAGGTAAGGCATTCAGTAAAATGTGATAATACCTCACTTCTGGGACACGTGAAACACGAGGCATGAAGCTGAATGCCTCCAGCATCCATGAAGTAACACGCCTCAGAGTTGAAAATTTTTGTTTTGATGAGTAATTCTCTTATTGCACATTTGGAGGTGAGGTGGGGGGAAATCAACTTTCTAAATGTAAATCTTTCACTAACCAGGGTTCTCTATAGTTCTAACACCAACTTACTCAAAACTAATTTGGATTAATAGTTTTATATGTGTAATACAAATAATTACACATAATTTTAATGCTTCTGTATAATAGGTAAGTGAGTATCTACAAAAGCTCTGAAATTTTCAGTTGAAAACTCCTACTAAGTGAAAAATAACTGTATTTCATATAAACATTAAAAATAACCAAGAAAATGTTTTATTTTCTAAACACATACCAAAAACTCCTTAGCAAAAACATTTAATAGTTATAGATAGTAAGTATCAAAATATCACAATGAACACTCAATAAGAATTAAGGATGATAAACAAGAAGGCAGTTTGCTTTGGTATAGTACAAGAATGTTGGACTCAAATGGGAGTAGCCAGTATAAACATATGCTAAAATAATTTAAGGTTGTCTAGACCTAGCCTTGAAGTTAAAAGTATTCAAGTATAAAGTATAAAGTATTCAAGTATAAAGGAACCATTTTATATTTTGAATCTCTTCAGGCATATGGAGTTAAGTTTTAGATGAAGTAATAGGACCACACCTGTAGCATGTTAAATAGTGTTAATAATAGCACTACTAAAGTTATAAAATGTAAATAAAATGCTAATGTAAATAAAAAGTAAAATGAGCATTCATTAATTGCTCCAGCAATAATTTAATAGTAGCATAAATGTGAAATTCATAGAATGTTTGCTTTAAGAGACAAGACCTTGGAGCCAAAGATGAATATTTCAAATTTTAAAAAGGACATACAATAAAAATTGTCTTAAGGTACATTTTTTAACTTTTCAAAAACCTTTAGAAGTTAACCAAAACTTACTAAAAATCTATTTGCACATACAGTAGTACAATCTCTCGTTTTTCATCTTTGAAAACTATACACCACAGAAATTATCTATTAAACATGAATTTTAATCATTGACTTCTGTTTATTAAGTTATGGCCTACCAAGGTCATACTATTCATCATTGCTTTAGAAATCTAAACCTATGCTACCAATACACTGAACATTTGAGTCTCCCTAAAATGTATATGCTGAAACCTAACTCCTAATGTAATGGTATTTGAAGGTGATTTGATCATCAGGGTACAGCATTCATCTTGGAATTACTATCCTTAGGAAAAGACTGAGAGAGCTCCATTGTTCATCCCACCAGATAAGGACACAGTGAGAAGATAGACTCTATGAATCACCAGACATTGAATCTGATGGTGTTTTGATCTTGTACTTACCAGCTTCCATAAATATGAGAAAATAAATGTTTGTGTTTTAAGCTACCCAATCTAAGATATTTTGCTTGTTACACAGCCAAATGAAATAAAGTGCTGAAATAAGAGATTACTAAAAACTTAATGTTTCATGAGTTACCTTTGTAAAGGGATGCCAATTTGTAATTAAATTGCCTTATTAAATCTGTTTCCCTTTCAATAGTAAAGTAAAAAATATAAATGTCATTTGAAATATAATATAGTTTATGTAATCTTTGCCACTTACCTTTTGAAACATCTTTAATTTCTCTGCCATACAAATCATAAAGATATCTGGCTGGAGAATTTAGATTCATTTTCATCGTGCAAGTATCTAAAACCTTGACAGAAAAAAAAAACAAAAAAAAAAGCCCTATAATTTATTACCATAAGTTCTGGTTAAATTGAATATACATTTAAATTGAATAGAAAGAAAGTCCTTTTTATACTACCTGGCTATTAAAAGTTATATTGTAAAATAAAATTTGATGAGTGAAAATGTTTCTAATATCTGAAATAGAAAAAGGGTTGCGAAAATTGTTAGATTCCAATTACATTTTAAAAGCATGTGCACACATAATTTTTAAAAAGAAGCTGCAAGCGCCCTCCCTGGGGGTAGTGTGTTAAAGCACAGCACTAAGAAGCTAAAGCCACTTCAGCATGAGTTCCATCCTGCCCCAGAGGTGATCCACATGTCTGTGGCAGGCCTCCCCAGACCCGTCCACCACTCCCCTCAGTAGTGTACTTCGTCAGCCAGCCTGTTCGGCTCTCCACTCTGTCTCTAGAGGATCCTCTCACTCCCCTGCACCTCTGGCCTGTATCCCAGTTCTGTATGCATAAATAATAAATAAATCTTAAAAAAAAAAAGTCAGTTAAAAAAAAGAGAAGCTTCAACATGTTTAAAAGGTATTACCTATTATTTAATAAATGGCTGGAGTTGGGTAGATTTTTATCTCATTCTTACTATTTTCTATATTTCCCATTTATTATACAAGGGAAAGATAATACTTTGTAATTTAGAATATAAGGTACTTTCTGTAAATTTAAAATAAAAAATTTTGAAGTTATTTCCAAGAGCCCTAAAATAAATTATAGTCTTTGATTTGAATGATATACAATTCACCTTGATAACATAATATTTGGATACTAAAAAATGGACCTGATAAACCACATTTCAAGGTTTTCTACTAGCATAAGTCACAAAGACTTTACTTTTAATGGTTTTAATATGCTAAAGCTCTTAATATTTTGATGTCCTAACCTGTTCCTGATACAGCTCTTGTAACAGTCACTTCATCAACATTAGGCAGGAAAGACTTAAACATTTATCAGTTAAAGTTCTACTAATGAGGTAAAGAAAATAAAAATTAATAGAGAAGAATCAAGGAATTTCAGATGCCCTGAGGCAGGATTCATTAAGAATTCAGAAGTAGGCCCTCCCTGGTGGCGCAGCGGGTTGGAGCACAGCACTGAGAAGCTGAAGCTACCTCCACATGAGTTCGATTCCCGCCTGCCCCGGAGGTGACCATATGGCGAGGCAGACCTCTCCTGACCAGCCCTCTGCTCCCCTCAGCAATGTACTTCGTCAATCTGCCTGTTCGGCTCCCCACTCTGTCTCTGGTGAAGCCTCTCACCGCCCCTGAGCCTCTGGCCTGTACCCCAGTTCTGTATGTACAAATAAATAAATCTTAAAAAAAAAAAAAAAAGAATTCAGAAGTAGTTTCCAAAACATGAATGTTATCATATTTATCTAAAAATACAAAATATATTCCAAATCCAAATCAAAAGTACTCTTCCATTTTTACTATTCATAGCAATAATAAACTCTTACTTCACAACAAAACTACTGAAAAGCAATGCTCATTTATGAGTAACTAGTGAAAAAAATAATAGTTCAATTGGTTTACCACATTTTCTAAATTTCTGCCCACTTTTATCCCTACTTGAAAATTAGAGTTGATAATCCTAATTCTAGCTCAATGAACTAATTTTCTTTCTGACAATGGACATATTTAAATAACTTATTATGTATATAAAGACAGTTATACTTTCAATCTGAAGAACAATTTTCATTATAGATGATTTGTTTTATCTAGTTGCTATATCAAATTATGTTTTGCATTTAAAAAAATATTTAGCTTTCGAGGACAGACCTGGTGGTACAGTGGATTAAAACCAGCACTATGAGATTCTCCGCAGCTACTGCAGCAGGAGTTTGATGCCGGGCCAGGGAACTGACCTATATGGTGTGGCAGACCTCTCCTGACCCACCTGCTGCTCACCTTAGCAGTGTATTTCAGTACCTCTGACTGTTCTGCAACCCACTCTGTCTCTGGTGAATCCCGTCACACACCCACACACACACACACCTCTGGCCTGTACCCCAGTCCTTGTGTGCATAAATAAATCTTTAAAAAATATTTAGCTTTCAAATTTAACTTAATAAATTGACTTTTCCTGAATTATATCAGAAGTTCTAAACCTATGCCTACTTAAAGATACAAATAATAATGTATTGCAATCTACTCCACAAATGACTTAACAATGTGATGTGGAGCAAATCCAGTGAGCTCTAATCTGCCTACTTTGCATGAATCAATGCAGGAATTCAATTCCTTGGAACAGCCCACTGTATCACTGTTTCTTCCTTTTTCCAATCTCTTAACAGGGGTTCATCCTTATCACCCAAATAAGTTACTAACTTTGGTGACTATCTAGACATTACTCCTCTTGCCTTCCCTTTCATATCCTTGGCCCAATTTCTTAAGTGACTACAAGACACAAATTGGCCTAGCATCCTTATCCCATGAACTGAAACCCTTCCTGAAGATGCTTGAAAAGCAATATTGAAAATACAAGAGAATAACTATCAGCAAAGACACTAGACTGCCTATAGCTTCAAACAAAAAGGGAAAGTGAAACTTAATTGACTGACTGGCATAGGATCAATGTTGGTTTTCTTTTTAATACTTTAAGAAATTAACACAATTGGCCACCAACTAGCAAATCTGCCCCCACTCTGTCACCTATTGGTCACTTTTTTCCATGCACAAAGAATATGCCTTTCTCACCAACACTATCACCCTTATTGAATAAAATACACACTATTTCTCAGTCCGTAATCTTTGGCCAGTATTAAGAAGCTACAAGTGGTCCCATCTGCTATCAAAAGACGTGGCCTCCAACTTAGGGTCCTCCTATTCTTTTATCTTTCCATTCTTTATGTTCAGTTTTCAACTGGTTAATATTATAATGTATTATTAAAAGTGTACTATGCCCCTTGTACAAATTATACTCGCAAGTTATTAATAAAAGTTCAAATATCTAAATGTCATTAAAGACTATAATCCACCAATCAAGCTAAGAAAAATATGATTAAAAGATGGTTCTACTTATTTCACTAAAATTTCAATGATTCCTTAAAATTATCTTAAGTATTGCTACCTTTTAATCTTAAAAAATCATCAAATAAAATCACATGGCCTTCTAACTCAAATGTTTCTCTTTTTATTGAGCTAGAACATTAGTGAAAATGTTCCATAAGCCAGGTTTTATGAGTTAAATGAGTTTAAAAACGGGTATTAGAAAAGCAGATACTAGAAAATAATAATGCATCGGCAACACTATCATTCTTTCCCACTTTAAGGATGAAAGGTCCTTACAGTGTTTACGCAATGCCAGCCTTTAGTAATCATTTTTTCAGAGTAAATTATCAGTGATATAAAATAGTATCAATATAAACTTCTGTCAAGAGCCCTGAAAAGAATCTTCTACCTGTAAGGTCATTCTTATAATTCACAATTGAAAAATATATAACAGTGTCACCTTGCTGTTATCAAGGTTAATTAGAATACATTTCAACTGATCTGTACCTGTTAAGCTTGTTAAAATATTACTGTTACAAATTCATGTTTCATTAATTTCTTACCACTAAGTTTGTAAGATACTGATACTGAAATTTAAAAGCACTGTACAAAGACAGATTCTTTTTGACAAATATCTGGGAATAAAGTTTCCACACTCTTTTCAATACAATCTACTTATTTAAAATTTGGGAATCATTACTACTCTCAGGCGCATCTGCTAGATTTTCACAGCTTCTTGAACACCCACCACAGAGGTGGTTAGTTATATACTCTACAATCTCTGGGTTTGATTTGCTGCTACCTGAATCCAAGTAAGAGACTCTATTTATCTCTCCATCACCCCAGATCAAATGAGTGTAGTCAACAACTTTTAGACCCAACAATGTCCAGCCTCCTCAAATACAGCGATCCTTGATACATTTCAACATGTTTTTATAAGTTAAGCCTCAGAAGTGTAAGTCCTGATTTATACCTCTTCTTACATTCTCTGTAGCAGGGGCCAAGAAATTATACCCTGTGGACCAATTCTAGTCACAGCCTATTTCTAAAAACAACGTATACATTTTTCAGTGTTAAATAGTAAATAAAAAGAAGGCTATTTTGAGATACTTTAAAGGCACATAAAATTCAAGTTTCAGTGTCCACAGATAAGTCAAGTATTCTTGGAAAACATCCACATTGTTCACTTACATACTTTTTATGGCTACTATCCCATGACAGCAAAAGTCGAGGAGAGCTTATTGAACAAACAAAACAGACAAACCCTGCCCCCTGAGGATATGAACTTTTAAAAGTGCATCATCTTCTCTCACTCTAATTATTCTTCCTCATTCATGGATAGTATTTTCCACAAAATATCATAGCTGTGATCAACCCCCTATGTCCATATTTTTATATACTTTCTTGGTGATCATACACCAGGAAAGTCTGGAGCGCCTAAAGAAAGCACACAAATGAACACATCAGCATTACTATTCTTCATAGATCCAAAAATCCATGGTGTCTCAACACTGCTCAGCTGTTCTGTCTTTTCTTTGCTCAAATTTCTCTCCCCCTTGCCTCAATGAACATTTCAAACCATCTCTATTCCTGTTGCCCAAGGTAAAAGGTCACCTACTGTTAAACCGATCCTCTCATTATCCTCATTATATCACAGGAAGACTTAAGCCTATGCAAGGCCAATATTCCACCTATCTTTATTAGGTTCTCAGTTTTTAAAACTGTACCTATTGCTATCATTTACTTTCTTCTGTGTATCCAACTACAACTTCTAGATTTTTCCTACTGACACACCAACATGATCATGTATTTTCCTCTCTAAAAGTTAAATCCTGAGTTCCAAACTGTATAATTCCCATTCAGCATCTCCTTTTTTTTTTTTTAAAGATTTATTTTATTTGTACATACAGAACTGGGGTACAGGCCAGAGGCTCAGGGGCGGTGAGAGGCTTCACCAGAGACAGAGTGGGGAGCAG